TATGAAAGTGGTGTGAGTGTCAGAGTTGGTGGTGGTCAGAGGGGCTGATGGTGGCAGCCTCACTTCTGCTTTTTGTAGCCACAGCTACCCTGCCCAAACTGACAGCTTACCACCACCGGGTATGGAGTGACTGAATAAAGCACTAAACTGTAAAGTAACTTTGAGCATCTGGAAAAGTGTTATATAAGACTAATGCATTATTGTAATTATTTCAAGCATTTCTGCTAACAGCAACTGGCATGCTAACGTGCACTTCCTGATTATTGAACAATAAAACATTTCTGAATTAGATGCAGACCGCACACAGCAGATTTATTTTGACTTGAAGAGCTGTTTATCCAGTATATATCTGTATACGGCAAGACACATTTTGCTCACATACATGGGGCCTTTAATTTCATGATGCACCAATTTTCTTAGAAGATTACCTTATTTACTTATTTGAACAAGTCTAAATACATTACTTTAAAATCCAACTGGCTATAATTTAAGTTGAAGCCACACAATGAAATGTACATGACCAAACAGTGAAGTCAAGGCCCTTCATTGCTGCTTGCAGGCGTAACTGGCTCTCATGGTGACAAATGAAAACTGCTACGGTCCTGTAGAAGTTTGTTGAAATATCTGACCCATGATAAAAAATTTGGGAAAAAAACTTTTTACATTTGCAAGCAACATTTAAAGATGCATTGTGTAACTTTTCTGGTGGAGGGTCCATCACCTGCTTGTTTCTATGGAGATGTCATTGCTCTGTCTGAAACATGACATTAAATACTGATTAACAACTGCACTACCTTACATTTATTCAATTACAGTGCCTTAATTGTGCAAAAATACCCAGAAAAACAAGCATTTTGACTGTGAGAGGGGTTGCCGCTCCACAGATCTGACCTGTAACTTGGTCTGGTTTGGACTCCATGATGATAGAAAGGTAATTAATTAATACCATACTGTGAAACATTCCATACAAAGCAACAAAATCTCCATGACGAAAAGGATTTGACAGATCCTCCACCAGAAAAAAAAAAACATCTTTAAGTCTTTAGTTTGGCCACAACTCCTTTCGTTGCGCATGCCAATATAATGTAGTGTACTTTACTGTAAAAAACAAAACAAAAAACCCCAAAACAAAGCAGTATTACCGGTATATTGCTGCTTCCTATATCCCGCACAGAATGAATGGGAGCACAGTGCCCCCCTGCCTCCACTCTGTGACATTTGCCTATAGCTGGGGCCGCTCCCCTGACATTTTCCTGGTGTCAGATCAATCTTTATTTAGCCACATGTCACATTCGCTTAGGTACACGTCTCTAAACGATGGATCTGCTGGTACACAGGGGAACAGAGGGGGAGAAAACATAGCCAGCATATCTCACAGTGGGCAGTGCGGTCTCTGGACAGTTTTGCATTAAATATATGGATGTTTGTACAGTTTGTACTCAACTTACAGTCAGTTGTTAAAGGGCCCAGATCGTGCTATTTTCTGAGCTACTGTAAGTTGTTTCCTCATCGCAAATAAATGTACCTGGAGTTGTGTTTTATTTCATTCACACGTTTAACGCACAAATCCTGCATATTTAAGCTGAGTTCTTTGCTCACGCTTTGTTTACTATCTTTACTGAACAAAAGGTAAAAAGTAGCTGTTAACTTGAGAACTATCACTACATGACATCACAAGGTGGAAAAGAGGATGTTGAGCTTTGGAGGTGTAGAGAAACGTGTGAATGAAACAAAAAAACAACTCTGGGTATGTGTTTGAGGAGATTACAGCATTATAACATGACTTAAATCGCAAAACTACGGAAGCCAAGAGGGGTCACAACAAACGCAAACGCCGCAACAAATACAAATGCGACAACACAACAAAAAGCCACAACGGAAATGACCACGGGACTCTGTTTTAATGCAAACAGTGCAACAAATACAAACGCCACAACACAAATGCAAATGCCGCAACACATTAAAAAGCCACAACACATCAAAAAGCCACAACGGAAGTGACCGCGGCACTCTATTTTCCGACGGACCGATCAAGCGGCAAGTGAAGAAGAAGAACTACAACATGAAAAGTAAAGGAACGGAGAAGTTGGAAAGTAAAAGTAATTTATTGTTTTATCATTATTCGTTTCACGCTGTAGTTCTTCTTCTTCACTTGCCGCTCGATCGGTCCGTCGGAAAATAGAGTCCCGCGGTCACTTCTGTTGTGGCTTTTTAATGTGTTGCGGCATTTGCGTTTGTGTTGTGGCGTTTGCATTAAAACAGAGTCCCGCGGTCATTTCCATTGTGGCTGTTTTTGGTGTGTTGTGGCTTTTTGTTGGTGTTGTCGCATTTGTATTTGTTGCGGCGTTTGCGTTTGTTGTGACCCCTCTCGGCTTTCGTACAAAACCTCACAAAACCTACTCAAAAAAAGCTCTGTTCAACCTTATGATGTCATGAAGTGGTAGTTTTCAAGTTGACTGGGGCTGAAATTACTTAAGTGAAGGTTTATGGAGTTCAGGAGACCAGAGTTTTCTGTTTGAGAGAAGAACTCAGCCTAAATATGCAGGGTTTGTGTGAATGAAAGAAAACATAACTCCAGGTATGTTTGTGATGGGGAAACAATATTACAACAGATTTAAAATAGTACAATATGGGCCTATTAAGTTCATACCATTTGGCACAATATAGATTCTGTTTCTCTTTGGCAAGTATTCAAATTTAAAGGTTACTGGCTTCAGAAAATCATAGAAAAACTCAAATTAGTTTTAACAAAGCTCTCACAGTCTCTGCAGTGACATGACAATGCTGAAGAATTAAAAAGAAACACAACTCTAGGTATGTTTTTGATAAAGTAACAACGTTCTAACATGACTTAAAGCTCATGAGAGTCAGTTCTGAGTAATATAGGACGTTTAAACATTAACTATTATTAACTATATACTGGAATGTATTGAAGTCAGTATGTTTATGCAATGGCTGATACTGCTTTGCACATATAAACAGGAGACAGGTGGCGTTTGTCTTAAATTAATCATTATGGCATCTTGCTTATAAATCTTAGAAGTTACAAAACGCACTCTTGGGGATTCTGGTATAGGAACAGCACTACATTTTCAAGTTTTAAAACCTAACCATCTGCCGTACTGATCAAATTATTATTTTTTTACACTTTATCGAATAGAGTTTCTGCCGAATAGCAAGTTGCCAATCACTGGAGATGTCACCTCAAACTGGGGAATGTGTAATGGTTTTCGATGAAATAATTTCTACGGTCTGGTGAATACTTTGAATTACACCCACTCAAAACAAATGTAACTTCTATTATTATTTTTCTAGCCTGAATTTGTGTGTTTGTGTCTGTAAGGTTGTCAGAATGTGAAATTATAATGGTGTAAGTTATGATTTTACAAACTTCTCGTTATTGCAAAGTTAACATCTCAACATTCTTTGGGCCAGCAACAGTTAAAGGTGCATTGTGTAACTTTTCTGGCTCAGGGTCCATCAAATACTTTTACTAACACTAATACTACTAATACTAATTCTTCGTGGAGATGTTATTGCTTTGTCTGGAATGTTTCACAGAATGGCATTGAACCTTTTTATGTTCATGGAGACCAAACTAGAGCAAGTTATAGGTCAGATCTGTGGAGATGTCTCTTGTAGAAAACATGTTTTGGTCGATGTTTAAACAGACCGTTTCTGCAAAATTTAGAGTTTTTAGCAATTGTACCGTATTTTCCGGGCTCTCTGGATTATAAGGAGCACTGTCATTAAATTGTCTATTTTCAAACTTTTTTTCACAAATAAACCGCAGCGGACTTTAAAGGAAACACAACAGTTCGATAGGTCAGTTGGACTTTGTTTGGGATGTTCACGGTGACTCTGGGCTTTGTTCAGTTGTGGCGTGTAGGGAGGGTGCTGTCTGGGACCGCTGGATTGTTGACGTGTTCGCAGTGACTCAGTTGTTCAGTTGTGGCTCAGAGTGGCAAGTTGCACTCGCTTTTTCGGTTTGTTCCTCCGTTCCATTCCTCGTCCGCGTGGAGTGATGAGTGTGGCTGCGGGTGTTTTTTGCTGCGCAGTCGCTGTCTGCTCCGTGCATGTTTGCGTGCGCTGCAGATGATGCGGCTCTGTAGTTTACTGAAGTCGTGCTGGGACACCCGAGTGGATTCGTGTATAGGGCGCTCTGGATTGCGAGGCGCGCAGTTGTTTTTTGATGGGGTTGGAGGCTTAAGAGCGCGTCTAATAACCTGGAAAATATGGTAGTTGTTGACCCTTCTCAGTTACCCTTTCCAAGTTATAACTAGAAAAGCACTCAGAGAGCACAGACCTCCGCCAAGGACTACCCCCATTTTTCATATAAATTGCGATAAAATCAGTCTTCTGGATCAGATCCGGATCAGCCTTTGGAATATGAAAGAGGATCCCATTGTCCATCCCTGAGTCAAATTTCATGGGGTTTGGTCAATAATTAACTGAGATATTGAGAAACAAAATTTTTGGCCCCATTTACCACAATGTTAACTAAAATTTCAAAGTGATCCAGAATCCAGGATTTCTTCCGGATCACCCCCAAAATGAAATCAGTTCTTCCTTTTCACATTTCCAACAAATCCTGAAAATTTCATCAAAATCGGTCCATAACTTTTTGAGTTATGTTGCTAACAGACAAACAAACAAACAAACAAACAAACAAACAGACAAACGCCGGCAAAAACATAACCTCCTTGGCGGAGGTAATAAGAGGGATGTGTGCATGTTTGAGCAATCTTTAATCACTTATTTTCAAGATTTTTAAGATTTTCAAGATTTTCTAGATTTTCAGTGACTCAATATCCCTTTAGAGTCAGTTTGAATTTTTTAAAATATGTGTAATGCCTAAGAAAATAAATGTGGGCCATTATATTATGTTCATGACAAGTAATGCATTCCAACACAAACAAGTGGATACGTGCAAATGCGTAATAAATCACATATATGCTGATAGTGCGTTTGCCCCCTGTTCTTGACCTCTGACCCCTCACCTTTGACGTCCCACAGGGTGAAGTGGCGGTTGTTGGCGACTTCTGGAGCCAGAGTGAAGTAGAAGCGATGTCCTGTCTGTGGCTCGTCCCTGTCCACCACGCTGATGGTGTGGATCAACTGTGCACAAACAAAATGCAAAACACACACACAAATCAGCATTAAAGGTCTTTTACTTTGCATGATATAAGATTGTTTTAAAATTGACTCTTTAAATTAAAACTTATCAAGAGCTCAACCCATAAGACCAAGATAAAATTCTCCCCAAATTGCGCACACCAGTGACAAATCATCTTTGTAGCTCCAGAAAACAGTGCAAAAGTACATAAATGAGAGGAAAAATGACAGTATTAAGTACAAATTTTCAGGCTAAATTTCTAAACTGAACTGAATATTACAAATTATGTTTTTGTTTTAATTAAGTCTCGTCTCGTCTCGTCCTACCATTATGCAAAAACTTTCCTGTTCTCCATGGATACGTTATTATGATGCGCTCCAGTTATGCTCAGATGCTGGAACTTGGACCCCAGAGTAACGCTTTCAGAGCGCAGCCATGTGGGATTTTCTAACTCTGAACCAGCTCTAGTTCTGAAATGTTACCTGAGTTTCCGAGTTGGAATCCTGAGATGGATGGGTGTTCCAGTGTAAAATTTACTAGTCGGAATTCAGAAAATCCAACCTCTGAGGACAATGGGAACACAGCATTACTTTGCCTCATCTATCTCCATGGAAACAAGCAGTTACAGGTCAGATACTTGCACCACTGATAAATGTGTATATCACTTTTTAGCATATTTTTTTTTCTTTGAATTGAACATTTGGCAGGATTACTTGTGAAAGCAACAGAGCTACACTGTGCTTTTTGTTTCTCTCAGATTCGAAGGATTAAAAGACAGAATATTTTTCCAGTGCAAACACCCAACTTAGGCCACTTCCTCTCAAAGAAAAACATTATACTCTTATATCATGCAATTTACTGGTAGGATTTGTTATTTTAGTGTCAGATTTGTTGGCCTGGTTTACGTTTAATATCTCTGTAATTACTATTAGGCTTGTCACGATGACAAATTTCAAAGCACTATATATTTCTACAGAGATGTATTGCAGTAAACAGTAATACTGAAACTATTGACACAACACAAATAAAGCAAGATAATTCCAGTACACCATTTTTAATAGACAGTATAATTTAAAAGCCTTAGCTGCGACAAATAAATAGCAAAATGAACCAATAATTAGCCACTTGGAAGATACTTAGTCAACTTTCTACAGCAACTCTGATCATATTACTACATAACTAATAAATAATAACAATCTCGACACTAAGACTGCAACAAAAATGCACACACAATAAATATTAAGCCCCAAAATATATTGTTCCAGCTTTCATATACTGAACAAAACGTCGATATTGTTATTATCTATTATTAGCTGAGGCATCCCTCGATACATAATGCGTTTTAAAAATCTGGGTTATGATGTTTGTGCACATTTGATTAATCTTGCATGTTTAGTCCATCTACTTCTATCACCAAGTTATATATAAGAGAACTTTCATTTGTCCCACAATGTCGAAATTCCAGTGTTGCAACACACAGTTTAAGAGCAGCAAGAGAATAGGCTCTATTCACGTTTACATCATAAACCAGGAAGACGTTGCGATGACAACTTCCTGCGAGCTCTGTTTGTGGTAGTTAGTCTGACAAAATCTAGGAAAAATTAGAAAATGGTCCAGTTTTAAATAGCTAAAAGAACCACAGAAGATACTTAGAAGATACTTATTCATCTTTCTACAGCAACTCTGATCATATTACAACATAACTAATAAATAACAACAATCTCGACACTAAGACTGCAAAGAAAACGCACACACAATAAATATTAAGCCCTAAAATATATTGTTCCAGCTTTCATATATCAAACGATAAGTCAATATTGTAATTATCATGATACCTAACCTGCACAGCAAGATGAATTCTCGCAATATTGCAGAGTTCAGTCATGAGAATCCATCAACAATTGGGCCAGACCAATCAGAGAGCAGCATTATGGTTTGGACCTAAATGAACCAAAACAAACATGGCAATGCAGGATTTGGTCTATTATAGCAGTTTGTGACAAATGTTTAGAGTGAAAGATGTGCTTTTGTGAGACAATCAGCTTCTAATATATGTCATAGCAGTCTGCATTTCCAGATTGATAAATGAGCAACATTAATACATAAAATGATACCATAGACTTCTAGAGCGTGTATGGAACCACCTGCTAATGCTAAATGAATGGCTTATAATTTATCTATTGTTTCCTATTTGCATTGAAAAACTGTTACGAAACAAAGTTGGAAAATTACACTCATTACGCATCAAAAGTTGCTGTGTGACAAACCAAAACATGTCCTTATTAGAATTGCATTATCAAATGGCCACAACATGCTTGAATAAACCGGCCTTCTGTCTGTGTGAGAAATGAGCCAAAATGCAAATGCGAAAGACGATCACAGCAGGAGAGGAGGGTCCAGCCAACGTATCCCATAGAAAACAGTCTTCATATATGCTCAGAGTTCTAATGGGCATCAAAAACCTGGAGCTGTTTTCCCCTCCACAGTCTCCATCCATCGTGCCTCTGTCCAATCGCCCTCAGCTCTCCCCAGTGTAAGGCAGATAAATGACATTTTTACACCGTATACAACACCGATTCTTTATACTTATGTCCAAATGATAGCAAGCACAAACTTTGTTCTTTGTCCAGATGCTGCTACACCATGTGGCTTCTCTCCTTTTTAGACTAAAAGCACTATATTTTTGGATGCTTTTTTTTTTTTTTTTAATGCACTGTGTGACTTTTCTGATGGAGGATCTGCTACCTGATTGTCTCCATGCAGATATTAGGGTCATTCCAGGCCATTTCATCAAATTTCCAGAAAATGTCACGCTTCATGTTTTTTAAACATTTTGAAAAAAATTACCAGCTGGTCCCTTGCTATCATGTACCAACCCTGTGAAATTTTTGTGATTTTCGATCAATACTTTTCAAGTTACAGCTCATTTAGTGAGGGGGTATGTGTCAATTTACGGGCCCAAAATGAGTGTTATTTTTTCTCGACCGTATTCACAGGTCGATATCTCCGTAAGTATCGCACACAGAGGGCTGAAATTTTGTAGGCTTGTACTCCTCTACTCTGTGTTCAAATAACAACTATCGAAAGTTTGGTATCTCAACTCATTGTCATTTTATATGAACTTAAAAATGAAGAAAAACGTGTTCATTTCGGTAGCGTACCATTTTTAGCCCCTTTTTAAAACTACTTGTAGGTGTAGGAGACCCTTAAACTTTTTGGAGAATCAAGATATGTAGTAGGACTTTTTTTTAAAAATCACCAAATGTGGAAAATTTGAAATAGGCTATGTGTGAGGGTCCTGTTAAAAACAAGAAAACGTAACATGGTCCGATTTTCACATGTAATTTATGGCATGTGGGTGGTAAAAAAAATTAGAATATTTTTTTTTGAAAGACCAGAAAAAGACCTTTCATATGGTACCAAACATATGTATTTTATGAAGCTCCTTCAATTTTTAATTATATCTTGAACATTTGCATTTTTGAGGTTTCGGTCATAGTGCAAGACACAATTACACAAGTATACAGTGACCATGTAATATGTTTTATTCCAGCAGCTCAGGTCACTAAATATTTAAAGACTGAATAAAATGGTTTGATAATAATTTTGATGTGACAAGGTATCTGACAAGGTGACAAGTTATCTGACATCCAAGAAAACATATTCATATTCCCCCTTAGGACCCTCCTTAGAAGTTACATAATACATCTTTAAAGCCTTTATTACATTATTAGGTTATTTTAATTTATTTATTTATATTTTTTATGGTGCAGTACTCAATTTTCCCCATGTATTTCAGCTGTCCTGTCTTCATCTAACCAGAAAGCGTTAATCAGGATGTGCACATTAGCATTATAGTTGTTAGTTTTGCCATGACAGCAAAACTCCGCTTTAATCTCTGAGAAACTAAAGTAAAGTACTGGCAGGTAAAGACGTGCACATCCGATAAAAGTTGCATCTGTGTTCTGGGTCCAAAAGAAAAAAAAAAAAAAAAAAAAAAAAAAACAAACAAAAACGATCCGCACTGCAGCTTTGCACAGTAAAAGAAAGTACTATAATTTAATGTTGAAAAACATATTCTATTGTCTAAATGAAGAAATTAAGTTTTTATTATCATTGTAGCAGTGGAATCGGTTTTGAGTATCGTGACAACACCAGGTTTATAGAGCTTTGCATGTAGTACAAAGTTATAAAATAAAAGTAAAACAAAAACTTTTAAGGAAACATTTTTATTGCCTGTCATTTATACTGTTGTAAATCAAATAACAGTAAAATAGTTTGTGTCAGAAGAGCTGAACAAATTTGAGTTTTATGGAGTGTTTGCAAATTCAACTTCCGACTTGAGAGACACATGGTATAAACAAACAAAACCAAATTTATTTGTGTAATAAAATTTCAGATGGTAAAATGCATAAAAAAGTGAAAGCACTCAACAAAAAAGAAATAAATTGCTTCAAAACAAAACAAGCCATAGAGAGACAATGGATCAAAATGACAGGACCAGCAGGACAAAACAGTGAGAACCAAACTATTATGTTTGAAATCCTGAAGCAAATCGTATTTTGTGTGTGCGTGTATAAAATCTAACTATTTCTAATTAAAATTAAAACTCTGACCATCCGTTTTATTCATTTTAAAGTGGCAACTTTCTGGGTTTGGAACATAGACTGTAGATATAAATGGACATAGCCTTCACGTTCCATACAGGAAGTGAATATGGGGGCACTTCTAGCTCCATCAACTGTTTCCAATTGACTTTATATTGAAAAAGTCGCCCGTCTCTCTGTAACTGCTGCTGTGAGTATCGTCATTTTAGTCTCCACTCCACATGATCCTGGTGTTTTTATTTTGCTATTTTGTATGTAAATAAAGTAATTTTCCTAATATGCACCTGGCTCCAAATTTGTCCCTATAACTGCTAGCCTCGTGAGCTTCATTTGACTGGAGCTGAACGCTGTGGGTGACGACACACTCCCTTACTCCACTTCTTTGATGTGGAAAG